CATCATTAAAATCGTGCAAACAACATCTAAATCCCCTCAATCTTCATCTTTCAAGGTAAATTTTTCTAAACTCTCTATTTCATTGTTTTTGAACATAGGATTAGTTTCAATTAGTTCTAGGTTGAAATAGTGATCGGGCATTGATTATTTAGGGATTAGAAACTAGATGTTACAACTAATTTCATAAAAAACACAAGAATTTTTCAAAAATTTTTAAATTTTCGAAATAAAAAAATGTTATTTTTCAAATTATTGTGTTTTGATTAAATTATGTTGTTGTTATGAAAACTATATATATTGTTTCTCAAAACCATATTTTTCAAAAGTTTTTCAAAAACTTTGCCCATTAGGATTGATTTAGAGAATCTTGAAATATTGAGGACTCATTTGAGTTTTGGGATTAATTGAATTGCATACATTTGTTTTAAAATTGCAGGTTATTCTATCTATTCCGATTTCCTTCACCATGTCAAATCCTAAACGTCCTAGGTCTTCATCTAGTCGTTCTAGTCGTCAACCAAATCCTCCTCCTATTCCTCAAAATCATATTCCAAATCTTGATCCTAACTTGACTATCCAAAATTCTTGTTTCAATCAACCGGGTCCTAAAGATTATCGTTATTGGTTTTACCAATATTTTGACTCGTATAAGATTAGGGAAGAACGTATCCCATCTCTTCAAACTATGGTTGATATTAACTTTAAATATCTCCCTATCTTGCACGAATGGAAATTTGATAAACTTTTCGAACTTGAACCCATTGTCTATCATCAACTTGTTTGTATCTTCTACTGTAATGCCGTTTGTATCAAAAATCGTGACAAAACCAAAACCATAGGAGTGCGTTCCTACCTCCTAGGTCAATATTTCCATCTTGATCCGGATTACATAGCCAATGCCTTAGGCTTGGACAATGAAGGTTTATCAAACGAAAAACAAGTTTTAGGCTCTCGCTATAAACGAAATGATAGTGCAAGTGTTTTAGATCTCTATGAGCGTTTCCTTCATCTAATGATCACTTGGTGGTTTCGACCATCCGGGGGTCGATATTCAACTCTTAGAGCTTTAGATCTTTGGTGGTTGCACTGTTTTTGAAAACATATAAAAATAAACCTCTCCGAGATTATCTTTGCTGAAATTGTTGAAACCGTTAACCTAGTGCCAAATAAGAAACTCTGTTCTTCACTAGTTTACGGTTGTATCCTTAGTAATCTCTTCTCTAAAGCTGAACTCCGAGTTGGTCTAGATGTCTCATTTCCTCTTAAGAAACAAATCAATCTTCTTTCTTTAACAAGAGCGGGATGGGTCAAAAATAAGGAAATCGGTGCATGGGTTCGATCTTCTACTACGGGAGCTAGTTCTTCACAAGCTCCACCCGAAGCTGACGAAGATCCCGAGTTTGAACAATTAATGAGGGATATTGATGAAGCTGAAGAAGAACCTGAACAACCCGAGGAGCACGCACAACAATCAACTCAAATGCCTCCATATTTTCAATCCTTTATGGAGACATTTGATTTCCGTTATGCGACAATGGATTCGCGCTTTTCCTCTATAGAGTCTCATTTATCCACAATGGGAGCTCAACAATTAGAGATTCTTCAGGAGATGCGTGCAAACAATGAAGCAACCAATGCTCGTATTAATGAACTAACTCATGAAATGGCTGCTATGCGAGCCCGTTTTCCTCCTACCGATCCGGATGCTTGATTTTGTGTTTAGCTTTAAGACTTTGAACTAAAAGAATATTGTTTCAACATTGTTTGATTTTGTGGATTGTTGGATTTTGGATTTATGAATAGTGTGAACTTATATGTTTTATTCATTTTTGCATCATCATTAGCAATATGACCAATTTTGCCATTTCACATTATTTATGAATATTGATTTATGAAACTAAAGGCTAACCTCTCTTTTGATTGTGATCTTAGCAACTTATAATTAATAAATCAATTGGCTAAATGATTTCAAAACCTTGTTTTACACTGTCTTTTTGATTTAACAAAAAGGGGGAGAAGAATAGGTGTTAAATGATTTACATAATAAATTGAAGAAGTGTTAAAGTAAGGGGTTAAAGTAAGGGGGAGTAATTTCAAAACTTGATTTCAAAAATCTTAAAATTACTAAAAATGTTTTGTTATATCAAAAAGGGGGAGATTGTTGAAACATTTTGATATTTCGATATAACAAATTAAGTTAAATGGATTTTAAGATTTTCCAAATGATTTTCTAAGTATATTCGATATAACTATTCGAATATCAAAACATTACTCCAAATATTTCAAAAATCATTTTTAATCCTTACTTAAGTGTAAAATTAAGTTTTAATCATAAAACAATTTCAAAATAATCTTACAAAGTATTTCGAACCAATTCAAAGCCAAAAATTACAGATTGCTCAGAGGGAACCGATTCCCCCTCATAGGAGGAACCGATCCCCCCTAAATGGTTTTGGCCCCGAGATTTCCAGAATGCTCGGAGGGAACCGATTCCCCCCATAGGAGGAACCGATTCCCCCTAAACAGTTTTGCTCCGAGAATTCCAGTATGCTCGGAGGGAACCGATCCCCCCCAAGGGGGTACCGATTCCCCCTTGTACAACGGTCGAAATATTTGAATTTTACACTTAGGAACCGATTCCCTTCAAGGGGGAACAGATTCCCCCCACGCTCCAAGCTGTTTTATTAAATGTTTTCACACTAAAACGGCTATAATATCTTCTCTAATCATCCCCAACGTTCAGAAGTGATCCAAGGTGTATTTAAGCAAGCTTAGAAGCCATTGATCAAGAACAAGAAACATCAAGCAACTAGAATCAAGAGAGAATCAAAGAGAAAGCATCAAACCTCAAGTTTGAGCATTTCAAGCCTATTTTCATTCAATATTCATTTTGCTTTCAAGAACACTTTTTGTGCTCAATTGTATTCATCTTTGAGTGTTCTTTTCTTTGTTCTAGAATTGTGCAAACATCTTACCTTGTGAGGTTTTCTTGTAAGTTTGCAAATTTGTAATCTTCTCTTTGGGAAAAAGAGTGTTCTCAAGAGTTGGGGTATACTCTTGAGGGAATTGTAAGGTTATCTCTTTGGCCTCAAAAGAAAGAACAAATTAGTGAATTTGTTGGAAAATCCTTAGTGTGGATAGCTAAGGTAGTGGACGTAGACTTTATTTGAGAAAGTCGAACCACTGTAAATCGCTGTGCAATTACTTTCAATTTTCTGCAAAAGCTTCCACAAAAATTTTAATTGCCAATTCACCCCCCTCTTGGCCGATTTCGTCAATCGATTAACTCAACAGTTACGAACTCTTACCTCAAAGGTATGAGTCGATGCTACAAGAGTTGTTTGGAAAAAATAAGAAGGGGTGCGAGTACATTATAGACATCAGCAAAGAAATGTGGACAAATGCGTATGACGGGGGTATCGCTATGGTCATATGACAACAAACTTGGCTGAAGCAATAAATTCAACCTTAAAGGGGGTGCGTCATTTACCAGTCATAGCATTGGTCAAAACGACTTATTTCGTTTGGGTCAACTTTTTGCAAAGCTCGGTGGACAAGCTCTTACTTGGATGCAAAACGATCATATTTACCACCCAAGACTAGTAGCTGATTTACAGAAAAAAATGGTTGCATCAAATGGGATGTTGGTTACAAATATTTCTCGTACCCGTGAATTGTTTCGTGTAACCGAAATGCCACGTCTGTTGCAAGGGATTGAAGCTAACTCTTTCAGAGTTAATCTGCATGAGAGGTGGTGCGATTGTGGTTTCTTTCAAGCACTCAAATATCCATGCTCTCATGTCATTGCAGCTTGCTCACATTCGCATTTGGACTACAAAAATTATGTTGATCCCGTATACCAACTTTCACAAGTATTCAAGGTATATGAATTTGAGTTTCCGCCCATAGGAAACGAAAGAGACATAGATGAGATTCAAACTTGACTTACAATTGTACCAGATCAATTGCTATTGAGGGACTCAGGTCGTCCAAAATCTACTAAAATACATTGTGATATGGATATTCGGGAGAAGTCAACAGAACAAAAACGATGTGGGCATTGTAGAAACATCGGACACAATAGAAAAAATGTTCAACTCTATTATCATCACATAATCGTTAACCCTTATGTAACCTAATATTATATTTAAATGAATGTTTTTGTTTCTAATATTTAAATGTAATTGTATTTTCTATAATTTCTCAATGTATAATAATAATAACAGATTAAATGTGTAATTATACTAATTTTATTAACTTATGCATCAATATTTTGGTTAAATAATAATAACAGATGACTAGATTGATAATATTTAAATAATTAAGTGATCAAATTAATAGATCGATAATCAAAATAAAAAATAATAATATAATCATATGTGTAATATAATAATTTTATACATTTTTCATATAACTATAATAAAATAAAAATTAGTTTTCATCTGTTGTTCTATCCGATTAATGTGGATAATACACTCCACCTTTAACACACATTAAAAAAATACATTCGATAATTATTAAATTATAACTGAAACAATTTACCTAATATATTACTAATTTATAATAACAATAAAAATAAAATTTTTATTATTAAAAAAATAATGCGTGACAACTGAATTAGCAAAATAAAGGTAAAACACGTCCTCGATGATGCGCCTTTCACACGTGGCATACAACTCACTGTAAAATCAGATAAAACGCGTCTCCGGAGATGCGTCTTTCGCCACCTCAACCGAAAGGGTATCACTTCGAAAAATATAAAACAAACTATGCTAAAAAAAATATTCGGTTAAAGAATTTCAGTTTGGTCAAATCCCTTTTGTCGTCCCTTCAACTTTTCGGTCAAAAGTTTAGGATTGTTCTTTTCTTTTCTTTTCAAACGAAATAAAGGAATCCCACCGGCCACCACAGACAAACATGAAGATCATACAAGGAGGAGTATATGAAGTTTAATTACCTATCAACCAAGTTGCTGATTTGAGACTTAAAACAGTGTATTACTGCAAAGATATTAAGTTTTTTTCCCCATAATCATCTCATTACAAATCATTACAACATTTACTCAAAGAACTGAATCCCATAAACTTGAACAAAGGGCAACCATTTACAACCACAACCAAAGCTTGAAATATGAAACAAGCAAATATCCACCAACCAAATACCCTTTTTCCTCAGTAAGCCTCGTGCTCCCCCTGCGATTTGTTTCAACAAGTTTCGATTGAATTTTAGCTACAAATGTCGAAATTATATTAGATTTTGATAGACTAGTACATCATACTTTCTTGGGGGTGATGAACTGCACAAATTTCTTCTTGCCCTTCCCATCAGGAGAAGCGTGATGATGGCCTCTCAAAAACCCATATCTAATCATTTGTTCTCTCACGAATCTTTCGTATATGAAAGCAGCCCCTCTAAACTGTGGTAAAACCAGCCATGCCATGAGCAATAGCTTCACAGTGTACCAAATAGGTATCCTGCAATTTCCATTTATATTGTGTAAACTTGATTTAGTTTTCAATAGGGGGAAAAAGCTGTTAAATTGTTACCATTCCAAGACTGATTGAAACAACATCTCTGTTAAAGTGAGCAATGAATATAGGATCCAATAAGCAAGCCACTGTTCATCATCTTCCTTGCCTGGACTCTCTATTGCTATAATCGATGCATATCTAAAAAGGAAAAGATATTAAGTAAAGAAATTATATAATGATCAAACAAAATCCAACAACAAAGAGGCCGGTTTCTTTCTTACAATGGATACAGCAACATCACCACAGGCCTGCAAACGTTACAAAGTGAAAAAGAAAAACACAATTTTAATTCATCAAACAAAAAAAAAAAAAAAATGGGTAATAAAATAGGATGAGAAATATACCCTGCTATTGAATGAAGGTTCGAGAGCAAAGTCCAGAAACGACCCATGAGGGAAGGGTGTGTGAAGTAAGAAGGAAGAATGAGAAAAAGGGTTGTGTGTGTTGTTGGTTGACACCAGAAGACAAGAGGGTTTTATGGGGAGAGCCATGTGGGGACAGGGTACCAGGTGGCAAGAAGAGAAGGGGTATCGGGTTCTGCCTTGGACGTGTGGAAATACATTAAGCACCTTCCTAAAAGACATTTAATGATCACTAATCCTACGATCACCAATTAAAACTTTATTATTATTTGTTAAATGTTTATTGGAATTATGAAAACTAAAAGTGATGGACAACACACTCACTTAGCCACATGGATCCAAACGTATTGTCCCTTCCTTCCTTTCTTGGACTTGGAGTCTGTGGGTCCGTATTTGTTATGTTTGGAGTTTTCCGTGGGAATGAAGCAAACGAGGAAACCTTCAACTGCAAGTAGACATCCCAGTTGGTTTCATTTCGGGGTAATTCTCACGAGCCAAGTTAGAAGAAGAGAAATTACAAGTCCAAATTTAAATTACAAACTTTTATAAACATTTTGAGGTTAAACTATATATTTAACCATCTAATATTCTTGTGATTCCATTTATTAGATTTGTCCATTTTTCTTTTACTCTGCTTTCATTCAACCATCAGAATTTTCTCTGACGTCAATTTCTTCCCGTCTCTAAGGTTTGTCTTTCTTCTCTCTTTCCTCCTCCTTCGACTTCCTCCTCTGATTTTTCTGTTGTTCTGGTTTTCCTCATATGTCCAAAGCTTTTTGAGTTAAATCCCCTTAGCAATCCGTCATTTTTAACCCCAATGGCTCATAACTTTACATCTCTTCCTTCAATGTGGTATTTACCAAAAGAGACATTGTATGACCCTCACCTATCCCTTAAATCAAACCATGATTTGGTATTAATCTGAATTTGGAAATTAAAAATCTGGTCTGGACCCTTAAAACCCAAGCTTTGATTTCAACGTCCATTTCCCTTTATCTTTTCGGCCTTCGAAATTCCCAATATCCATCGTTCCAAAATTTAATCTTTACCCTCATAACCCAATCAATGAGAGCATGGAGATGATGTATGACAAAACAAAAAGGTCAAAACTCGTAAAAGATTTGATGATCTATGTCGTTGGGATTGGGGTGAAGAGATTAGAAGGGGAAGAGAAATGGTGGAGAAATTTTTAGCAGTGACGGTTGAGAAGGTGAATTGGGAGGTTCTACAAAGGTGTGGAATAAAATTTAAGAACTTTTATTTTATTTTAAATATTATATGTCGTAATTAGATTTAATAATATATATATATATCATCATTATATGTTAATAAAAAAATCACATCATTAGATTGTTATAAACTTAACCGTCGAGCTTGTAAAATAATTCAATTTATAAAATAATTCAAGCGAGTAAAAAAAAATTGAAGGTTGGGTGAGCAAAACAAGAGAGAGTAAAGTTCAATGAGAAACAATGTAATTTACTCTAACTTATTAAAATTATATTTAATGTTCTATTTTAATTATCAGTCGTTAAAAATTGACAGAACTATTGGCTTATTAATATTTTATTTTTCTTCATTTATGACGTGGCATTACCTTATTATGACATGTTAAAATAACCATTAAATTTTTAATGATAAATGATTAAAATAAAAAATAAAACGTAACATTAGACAATATTTTACTACTTTGATAAAAACTCATATATATCTTATAGAAAAAATTATTTAAATTTGAATCAAATTAGATAACAGTACATCCATGGAACTACTCCCTGAATTTGATATTTATATAAAAATTTTAAACGTTAATAAATTATTTTTAAGTAAATTTAATATTCATTTATTACATTGGATTCAAAATTGCATGGCCTTAGGCTTAAACCGAAGGGGCAAACATAAACCACTGGGCTAGTCCATTGAAGAAGTGTAGTCCAAGTTTGTTGTATCATCTGACTTGCACAAAACATTATTCTAATGTACAAATTCAACGTTTTAAACGCTTTTATAATTACATAAGATAAATATCAAATTTACATATCAACTCTTTTATAATTATATATTTATAATATATATTATAATTTTTAATTTTTACGGTATAAAAATTTGTATTCACTTATAAATTTTGATATATTAGTAATTTATGTTATACCATTTTAATATATTCATATATTTACAAAGTTATCTTTCTCATGCTATTCAATCCAAAATTACATGGTCCTGGCCTTAAATCCTAAAATGCTAACATAGCCCATTCTACTTAGACCATTGAAGAAGTTCTTCGATCAATTTTTTTAATCATGTTTTTCGGACAATTTGAATTAGCCTACTACTTATTCTGAGGTGTCTTAACTTTTATTAATTCTTCATAATTTATAAAAATTTGTTAAACATCTAATTTGTTCAAAAAAAATAAACTTTCATTATGTCCTTAAACTTTTTAAAAATTTTCATTAAATCTTCTTTGTTACAAAATTTCTATAATATATATATATATATATATATATATATATATATATATATATATATATATATATTCTTGTTTCAATACATAATAAACTAAAACTATAAATGTGCACCTAATAGAGAGATATTTTATAATGTTATTATAAATTTTTGGGTTAAGAATATAAATAGTCCTTGAACTTTTAAAGTATTTGCATTTTGATACCCAACTTTTAAAGTTTGCAATACAATCATTGAACTTTTATTTCGTTTTCAGTAAGGTCCCTTTCGTTATCTTCCATTAATTTTTTGCTGACGTGACAATTAACTCCGTTAACTTTCTGACGTGGCAACTTTTTCTTCTTCTTCCTTCTTTAGTTCTTCCTTCTTCTTGGACCGGAGTCACCTATTTCCATAATCGAATCTCTCTACTTGTCTTGGAAAATCTCGACCTCATCGGCTTTTTCGAGCCCCTTGGTCCACTTACCCGCTTCGAGTATTCAGTCTAAAGCAAAATCGTCTATCGGGTTCGCTTATAGACCTTTCTAATCTCACTACTTTGAAGCTCCTAATTTTGTCCCATAACGATTTCACCGGCGAGTTCCAGGCTTCGGTCACCTCGTTGATTTGGTTGTACCAACTCAATCTATCGATTAAAAACTATATCGGTGAGATTCTCGTTACTATCAACCATTTCAATCATCTTTTGACGTTCTGCTCGAGGAGAGTCGGTTTTCAAATGTGGATTCCAGTTTCAATCTTATGAATCTCTAAGACCTAAATATCTCTGGTGACAAGCTTTTCGATGAAATACCCCCGTCTTTGTCGAGTTTCTTAGTTATGACCTTTAGTTCAAATATAGCTCTTTGCGGAGATTCATTGGAAAAATATCGGAGCTGTCTTTTTCGTCTGAGAATATATTATTATTATTATTATTATTATTATTATTATTATTATTATTATTATTATTATTATTATATTACAATTATTATTATAAAAATATTATTATTATTACAAATATTACAAAATCGGAGTCCAGTTAAAAATAAAGACCCGAAGGCCCAAGACCCGTACCAGGCCCAGAATCAAAGAAAGCCCAGATGACCCAAACCCGATTAGGGTTTCCTCACACATCTCCAGCCGTCACAGATCACAACCGTTGGATCTGGAGGGATCTAACGGTCCAGATCTAATCTAACAAGAATCCTAGGGTTCACCAACCCTAGGGACTATTCCGGCGGTGCCTCCAGATGGTCCACTCAGACGTTGCCGCCTCCAACAGAAGGATCCAGAAGAAGCGAGGATAACCGCACACTTCATCATCTATATAGTGAGTCACCATCGTAGATCCGGTGACTCACCGAACGAACAGTGTTTTGAGGGCTATAAAAAAGCCTTGATTTCCCTGCAAAAAAGGGAGAACAACGGCAAGAACGGGAAGAGAGCAAGCAACACCAACGAGCAAAAAATAAACCAAAAGAAGAAGAAAGGAGAGGAGACTTACCGAGGAGCTCAAACGTCGTCGGAAACCGCCGTTAATCGAAGTTAAAATCTCAGATCTAGGCCGATTAAAAAGCTTTTAGGAAAAAAAGAGGGTGGTTTCGACTTTAGGGTGTTTTGATCTACATTTTGAGCTATTTTAATTTTTTTCCGGTCGTGAATAGTGACTGGAATAGTAATCGACGACAGTGAATAATGACCTTCGGTGGCCGAAATAGTGACCGGCTAGTGGTCTGCCGATGAACGAAGCTCCCTCTGATGAGGGAATTTAGAGAGAAGGGAGAGCTTCTCTCTCTAAGGATAGAATATCAAAATGAACAAATGGGAAGAATTAAGGATTTTAGGCCTATTTATACCCAAATCAAAACTACATCGTTTTGGGAAGGGAGTGTCTGTGTAATTTCGGGATTGGTTTAACCCTGTATGTGGTCCCTATATTCTGTAATTTTCTATTATAGTCACCAAAATTAGGTTTCTATATCTTTTAATTTTTTCTTCATAATTTATTTATTTTTATTTTAGTCGCTACCCGTATATTTACATATATTTAAATAATATTTTAGGATTATTTACACTTTTAATATATATATTTTATAATATTTTGAATATTGACAAATAATTTTTATATATATTAATTTAATCCTATATTATTATTTTGGTTATTATTTAATAGTTATTTTATTTTATTTTTATTATTATCTTTCATATTTAAATATTTTAAATCTAGTACTTATTTACTATTTTTTATTTTAGTCACATATGTATCTTAATAATATATACTAGTGTTTAAAATAAAATACATATAATAAATAATAAGGACAAAATAATTCTATTATTAAAAATAATAATAAAAATTAGAAAGGAATAGCACTAACTTTTGTTCATAAGATTTGCTATATTTTAATACTAATTCCACGTTTTTTTAATTAATTATATTGTTTTACTTTAATTTTTATTTTTTTATAAGAGCATTATAATAGATACTCCACTTTCAAATATATTTATAAGAACACTAACTTTTGTTCATAAAATTTACTATATTTAAATACTAATCCCACCTTTTTTATTTTAATTAATTATAATGCTTCATTTTTTATTTGTTTTCTTGAAATATGTATTTATTCTCT